TTTTTTTTTTTTTAAATCTTATTTTTCATAAATATTATACTTTGAAAATTCATGTCCTACAGTTTTCCTAATTAGCTATCGTTTCATTAATTAAAATAATTCATAAAAAAAAATTTACCACTCTAATGATTGTTACTAATAATTTTGTTCTTATTTTTAATGAATATTTTTAATGAATGAATATTTTTGTAATATTTCTAGCATTTTTTATAAATGAATCTTTATCGAAAAAATAAAAAAATAAATAAATAAATAAAAAACATAAACAAAAATTTGGCAATTGAAATCGAAATAATTTTTAGATTTTAGTAAAATTTAGTAATTAATTTTATTGTACAAAAATAAAAGAAAACAGAAAAGAAAAAGTATTATTTAGAATTTCGACAAAAATTTATTTTTCTTCAAATATTTTAAGTTACTTATCAATCAAAAATGAGAAAATTTTCGTAATTTGTTTTATAGAAATCTATCAAATTTCTTTCTATAATAGATGACTAAGTTCAAAAAATCATTATCAGTCATTTTCTTCATTTCTATCAATAATAACTAAAAAGAGTTTCAACAATCATTATCAGTCACATTCTTCATTCTATCAACAATAGCTAAAAAGAGCTTCAAATCGTTATCAATCATATTCTTCATTTCTGTCTAAAATTGAATGAATGCATTTAGACATCAGTAACAGTCACCTTCATTTCCATCATTATCAGTGTCTAAAAAAAATATACATTTAGAAATTATTACCAATTATTTTCTGCATTACTATCATCAATATTATTAAATATAGACGACTGAGTGACTTCAAAAATCTTTGCCAGTAATTTTTCTAATTCTTATCATTATTGTCGAAAAACTTATTATCATTATTATCATTGTTTAGGACTAAATCTTATTTTGTTTCTGCAGAAATGCATGTTAATTCTGTTTATTAGATCATTAGCAAATTTCTTCATTAGATCATTCTTTTTTTTTCATCATCACTCAAACGAAAATTTTTTTGTAGTCGAACAGACAACCTTAATATTCCTTTTTATCGAATAGGTTAAGATTAAATCGATCTATTTAATATTGCTTCAAAAGAATTTTATAGAAGAATTGCTTATCAAGTTGGATTTTTACTCTTTTTTTTGGCTTTTCCAATTGTATTTTCAGTTTTTTTCAGGTATTTTCTTATTAGCGTTAGCGGCAGTAGTTTAGGCAAATCGAACTTTTTTGTTAAAACAAATTTAGTAATGGGCATTTTTTATAAAAATTATTTTTATTCTAGTAATATTGGTTAAAATATTATTTTAAAGTGATAAATAGAAGAAAAGAGAAAAATATCTCTGGCTGTTTTCTGTAATTCTTCTTAAAAATATAGCCAATGAGAATGGAAAATATAGGAAAGACTCGTCTCGTTTTAGCCATACCTGCGTTGGGAAGTCACTCATCAAAGAAATAAACACATGCTTACTGTTATGTTTGGCTTTTATAAATAGATGACTTAAAAGCTTGGATGAGTCTAGAACATAATAAAGATCTTCATAGATGCGACCAAGTGAGATTTTAAGCGCATAAATAATCCAGTGATATATGGACTTTAACAATGATATGTGGCAATGACTGGCTTTAACTAATCTCAGGCATGGTGCTGAATCGGAAGGCTTGGAAAGATCATACCAATGAGCCAGCCAAACCAATAATGATGCATTAGAAGAAGAATGATAAATGAGGCCTATAGATGATAGTAAAAAATATTTCAAAAAAGATAACAACAATAATGGACTAATATTTAAATAATATTGAAATTCTTCAAATCAAAATTATGAGTTTCGAATAATTAAAATAAGAATTAAAATGTTCAATTTTAAAATTTTAATTCTATTTTTATTCAAAATTTTGTTGACTCAAATTTTTCACATGAAGATTTCCTATTATTTTAATTATCATTTATATTAATCAAGTAGTAGAATATATTTTCAATATTGTTCCTATTCCGTTTTGTCTTATATAAAAATTTCTTATCATTTTTAAATTTATATTAATTAAAAAAGTAAAAGTATATATGGTAAATATAGTAAAAATATAAAAGTAAGTATATTTTGTCAAAATAACTATTTTTCCTATCGTATTTTTTATTTTCATATTTTTTCAATTGTGTCAATATGTATTGACGACATTGAGAGACTTCTAACATATCAAGTAGGATTAATATTGAAGGCTGTGCGAGAAGATCTCAGAGACTGGCCAAATCATAATGGCAGAATAGCATAAGCAAATAGCTGGCATTTTCTACATGTATCTCTGCACAGTATATGAACCAGACCATCTCATGACTAAATGAGGGATTGCACAAAAAGTAATGGGAAGTGACAAGGTCATGATCTTGGGGACTTTCCAACCAGAAAAATCTGGGAATCAGAAAATAGCACTTGTAAAACATAGAAATATCAAGTGACTGGAAAATCAGTCAACCAAGAAGAAAAAATATGAAAAACTGATGAAGTACTAGAAGCTAAAAAAGGAACTAACAATGATGTGGAAATAAAATCGAAATTGCAGTGGAAATACCACCACTAAGAGCTGTAAGTTCTAAACCAGAAAAGTGGTTTCAACAAATCCAGGAGCAACATCGAAGATCTCTGTGAATAGAGAATAGCGCACTAGGAATAATTCATAAACTCTTAAGCCTATGGTCGAGGACGCGAGATTGAAGAAGGCTGATACTAGCTATAAAAGATGTGAAAGAAGCTTTTTTTTAATATAGTGTATTCTTAGTCTAATGCCTGAAATGTTGATTAAAATCAGTCGGAAATCAGAAGCGGAATTGATAATTATGCTGATCTTCTATTTTCTGGCAAAATATAAGTTACTTTACAATATTCTTTTGTTCTCATAAGTCATTATCCAAGGTGATCTAATAAATTTTAGTAACTAAAAGTCAGCAAAGAATAAAATATCAGAAATTTAGTAGTTTTTATTAATTCGAGCAACTTTTCATTCAAAAATTTCTTCAATTTCTAATCAACTAATCTAACAACATTATAGAAATAGTGCTATTAGCAGACGAAAAATACAAAGGACTAAAATTTCATGCATGAAGAAAAGCAACTAAATATGCATCTATAATAAAGGAAGAAATAATTTCGCTCTGATTTTTGTCTATAAATTTTTCATGACTTTTTTCTTTATTAAAATAAAATAATAATTCAACATAATAGTAATAATAAATTATAAATAATAAATTAAATTTATTAAATTAAATTTATTTTAATAAATTTTTTATATATTTTAAATATTTTAAAAATATAAAATATTTCGAATTCAAACGTATTCAATGATTAGTTAGGTTATATAAAAGCGATTCCAAAATTGCATGAAACTCTGACTATGCTAGAATTATTATTTTTTCGAAAAAGATCCATGACCATGATGATCCATGATGATTTTTAGTTATCTAGAATACCAGAAAAAATATATCTGAAGCATTGGTTAGGTCGTTGATTTCATTGCTTTGGTTATTTTGCAAAATATAAAATCTTAATTATCATAAGTACCAAATCTGCCTATATATTCTAAACATATTGAACTAATTACTATGAAAGTCTAAAAATTGTGAAAGTAAATAATTGAAAAGTTGCTATGAACGAAATTTATTATGCACGATGAAATTATTCTATTATGAGATAAATTATGAGTTCGAGAATTTATTAGTGATGAATTTACGATCTTTATTTAATGCTATCGAGATTTGCTCTATTGAAGTCAATCGAATTTTCGGACGAATAAATTTGTAAATAAATAATAATTGAATAAATAAAATTTATTTTTATTGATATTATCAAAAATTTGTTGCGATGAAATAAATTAAATAGATAGAAAGAAACTTCTATTTTTTTTTTTTTTTTTTATATATGCAAATATTTTAAAAATATGGATTTGACTTTCTTTATTATATATATATATATATATAAAATTACGAAAATTAGATCGCCGTAAATCAATATATTATATTTTATTAAATTTAATTATCGTTACTTAACATTCCACTAATGGATTGTCATCATGGATGCATGAATCAAATAGCTTATTCTAGCTGAGATTTGTTGTCGGCTTTTTTCTTTTTCAAAAATTTACATCATTAATATTTCAAAAATTTATCAAGTTTCATCAGTTTATCTGATAAATAAATTGGCAACTTTATTTCAATCGTAAAAAGTGACTTCTCGGATCTAATAATCTTAGTGGGTGGAGGGGTAATTTAGTCTGCCATAGATTTAGATTTAATCTTGCTATATTGCTATATTTTTTGCAAACATTCATATTTGATTAGGCTCGCTTCGCTGATTTGTCGGACCATAGAGTCACTTGGCGATAGAAGTGCAGATAAATCACGAGCATTGTTTGATTTGCACTAGCCAGGATTAGAATAGATGGAGCATCGGCACTCCGAAATGATGGCAGCAATCCACTCTACTATATTACTATATATTTAACAACTACTTTACTCAACAATTTAGTACTTTACTTAATAATTTAATGGTATTCTTCGTAAAAATTAATAGAAAACTTTGTATTTTTTCATTTTTTAAAAAATATGATAAGACTGACTGACTGCTTAAATAACAACAAAAAATCTTTCGTAATGGGTGGCAGAAATCTTTTCTACCTGAATCGAATAATGACAGTTATACAATTTAAGATTCGTTTAATTATAATTCTTTTGTTGAAAATATAACGCTCCCATAGAAATTTTGCTATCAGTTATCAAATCTAATCAAATTGGAAATTTATCAAATGAGAATAGATTGATTACTTAGGTGCAAATTTGCTATTGATTTATTTCAACATTTAAACGTTTACACATTTCAATTTATTTATTTATATTCACGTGGTTTCACGTTTTATTTTACGTTTCTGCTAAAAAATAAATTTCTTTCAGATGTATTTGTTTGGTGAATATTTATCAATAATTTTATTATATTATATCTATCTAAGTCAATACGTTCAATGTGTTTTGGATGTATCATGGTGGTTTGTTTCATTTCATTTAAATTTATTGTTTTATTTATTATCTATTTATTTATTATTTATTATTTATTATAGGATGTTTAAATAAAATTGAACTTAGGTTTTTTTTTGCATTAATATTAATATTTATTACTAATATTTATTGGTTTTAATACAAATGAATTTAAATATTGATAGCATATTTTATGAAAGAAATTTTTAAGATTTATTTATAAATTTTCTATTTATCAGTGAATTCGTATAAAGTTCAATTTAGGAATGGCTTTATTGTCATGCATTTTATAAATATAAAAGTGCTAATTAAGTGTTTTCATAATATTTAGTAACATAATAAAGTATGGAATATTATTCAAAAAGTAGGAAGTAACTAATTAGTCGAATATGAAAGTTCTTAAATTAACGATGGGAATTTTATTTAGCCGAAGGCTTTTCTCGGAGAATAATATTTAATAAATTGCAATTAATAAACAAAATACATTTTTAAAAAATCAAAAATTAATTGATTATTTCTTATGCTAAATTATAAATTCTCTCGCTTTATTTCCCTTTTTATCTAAAATCTTTTTAACTCATTCACTCACCATTTCTGGTTATACTCGCTTCGCTGGCTTTTTGCATCAGACAAATGTTGTTTGTGGGGTTAACTGGTGATAGAGATGTTGAGGAAAGTATCTAGTTTTTTGAAAGACAGATTTATTCCTGTCGGAGACGAAATTCAGTATCGGCATACCTATAAATAAAAACAATAGCCCACTGAGCTATTAGGCGCCTAGCTATTCAGCCAAGATTACTAGATTTATTAAATTGCTGAATTTTATGGCTCATTCGATTTAACTTTTTTTTTGCTGTGAGATTTCGAGTAGTTTTATATAATTACGAATCGGTCGGCGATATTAATTAATTAATCGAAATAGAAAAAATTTAAAAAATAGAAAAAATTTAAAATCAATTTTATAAAAAAATTTTCAAATAAACGTTTTAAAAGTCGATAAAAAAATGAAAATTTAAAATGCTCGTATTATTTGCGAATGATTGCACATATTTTGAAAAATTTATTATTTAATAGTCCATTAAAAAACATATTTGTCGTTTTTTCAAGGAAGTTCCAAGGATTCCAAGGAATATGGACTTGAAATAAATAAACAACAAATTAAACATTGAAGAATTTTCTAGAATAATTTATCGTCTTTTAGGTGAACTTAGATTTAGGGCTAATTTAGACGATTTAGGATGAATAAATAAAATAAAAAAAGGTCTAACAAATTTAATATTTTTTCGATGAATATCTAATAAAAAATTCCATATTCTCAAATAAATTTTAATAAAAAAATTGCTACTGAAGAAATAAAAATTTATTGCTATGTTATAAATTATAAATTATTGTCAATAAAATGATTTATTGCATTTATTATTGCAGAAATTAATATCTAACGATCATTACCATCGAATATCTAAAGAGAGTTTCTAAGGAGTATTATCATAGAAATATTATTTAATTCTAGGTTTCATTTGAAATTTCAATTCAAAAAGTTATTGTTAAGTTATTATTTCCAGGTCATCCGTGGCACAATTAAGTACTGCAAATTTATTAGCTGGTTCTAGTGCACGACCAACATGCCTTAGCTTACACGGCTTATCACCAGGACAAGCTCGAATATGTGAGTTATTTCGTGATCATATGCCAGCAGTTGGCGCAGGAGCAAAATCAGCAATTTTGGTAATAAATTCATCAATTCTATGATAAAATTTTTATCATCAAAACATCAAAAATCGAATTGTCTCGATAATAAAAAATTTAAATTCTGTTTAAAATAAAATTAAAATGGAAATAGGTCTGTTATTCTTAGACCTTAGGATAAAACAAAACCAAATGAGGATCCATTTGTAACTTTGGTGAATTATTGCCATACTATACAGCATAAACAACCACATCAGAAATGGTGCGTGTTGTTAGAAAACTGAAGATAAAAATAAAATTGAATATGCATTAATTAAAGTCGGAATTTTTCACTCAATCAACTAAAAGAATTCGCAAATTTAATTTTAGTTTCATTTTTTTTTTTTTTGCAATCACTCTATGATTTTTTATATTTTCATAATCAAAAATTTTAGTTAATAACTAATAAATTTTCAATAAATTTTTATATTCTATTTTATAGACATGGCCTTATCATTAATCACTTTAATACGGTTATCAATAATATTAATTAAATGGAAAATCAATTCAAAATTTTTCATGAACTATAATAATAAGATCAAAATATTGGCCCAGTTCCATGTGCTTTAATCATATATTTCACCTTGACATTTTCATAATTTCTTATAGAAGAATTTTCTTCTTGAAAGATTTTCTCAAATTAATAACTCACCTGGTACTTAGCTATTTACTTCTATTATAGAAATTCCTTTCATCCTATTCTTAAATATTATAATAAATCCCATCAATATTCTTTCTCTCATACCGACATCTATTCAAATAAAATAAGTTTTATTACGTATAAATCATTTCATCTAATCGGCTAATCTTTTAAGATTTTTTCTTCTAGCAAATTTATATATTGCATAAAGATTGATTTATTATTATTATTATAGGTGAATTGTATGGTGCAACTTTTTCCTTTTTCTACGCAAAAAAACGATAAATTACAAAAATTAGCATTGAAAAAATTGGGGTTTTCGAATTTTTTGGATCCCTTTGGACGAATCTTTTCATATTTCGATTTTTTTGATGAAACCAATGAAAGAAATATATATTTTATGGAAATTTTTTCAACAAAAATTATCCACTAATTTACAAAGAAAAAATTTTGATTATCAAAAATTTTTAAAAAACTTTTCAAATATTTTAAATTTTCATTGGCAAATGAAAAACTTAGACGAATGATTTCCTTGTGAAAATTTTTAATTCGAAAAGCTTTAGAATTTTTCTCATTTATATATTTGATTTAATTTGTTCGATTTCCATATGAATATTCCCGTTTTTTAGTTTGCATAATAGAATAATTTCTTCCTAAATCTCGCATTATTTTATAGAAAAAAAATTTTGGAGAAAACATTAGTCGAATATATAATAGTTTGAAGCGAATAGGTCAGAAATGATGCATTTGGTTGATAAAATTTGATTTATTTAGAAAAACTCATAATCTGAACCATTGTATTCTGCAAAACATTCTGATAAAAATTTAGGAATGTCAGTATCAATTTAAAAACGAACGATGGAATTGTTCGACGCCATATGGTTCTGGTTATATTGGTCCCGTTCATAAACTTGGTTACTATCATAATTTGATTTTAAAAATTTTAAAATTAAAATACAATCCATAATAATATTTCTAAAAATATATGGAAATAGAATGGAATATAAAATTTTACAGGCTCACGCGAAGCAGCATTTACTTATTCAATACTATCAGCTGGTGTGACTCATGAAGTTGGTCGAAGATGCCGCTTAGGTTTACTTAGTTCATGTGGTTGTAGTGAAGCGCCTAAGCCAAATACTGTTAACGCTGAGTGGACTTGGGGAGGATGTGGTGATAATGTCGAATATGGCTATAGATTTAGTCGAGATTTCGTTGATATAAGAGAAAAAGAAGGTTTTCCTAAGCGCTCAAATGATCATGGTCGATCATTGATGAATCGATGGAATAATGAGGTTGGGCGAAAGGTTGGTTGAATGGGCATTTCTTTAAAATTTTCCATGCTAAATGTCTTTTATGCTTTTAAAAGCATTCACTTTTTGTAAATTCTAAGTCTAATTCTAAGTCTAACTCTATTTTTTAATTTAAATTTATAATTTAAATTCTAATTATTCATTAGAATTAAATAATTTACATTATACTAGATGATTAGCACCGACCAGATTTTTGCTTTCTGGAATAGAACCTGGAATAGTTCCGCTTTTTATTGTTATTTTTTAAATTTTTTATAACTTTTAATTTAGCTTCTCAAACGACATACGCGTCCAAAATGTAAATGCCATGGAGTTAGTGGATCATGCAATATGAAAACATGTTGGATGCAATTACCCACTATAAGGCAAATGGGTAGTGTGCTATTAACTAAATACAAAACGGCTAAAAGGATACAGGTAAATAATTTTTGTTGAATATCACAAAGTTTATAGTTATTTTCAGCTAATACGATGTATTTGCACAAAATAAATTATTGCAGGATAATACATTTTCAAATCAATATTTATTTTAAAATTTTTATTGTATATTTTATCAATATTAGCTGAAAGAAAAAAATTAGCATTACGGAAAGTAAGTTTGAAAATCATAATTTTCATTTATAAAATTCTTTAAAACTTGCCAAATTAAAGAAATTTTTATTGGTAATAATTAGTTAAATAACTGCAGAAATGGATAGGATCGACATAAATTCATTAATTCATTTAACATATATATTTATATATATACATATATGGCATTTTTTGAAATAATTTTTTAGATTAATGCTCGAGGTAATATGCAAATGGTTAGCCAACCGGGAAAAAGAGAACGAAAAAACAACAATAAGAGGAGAAAAGATCGTTCGCTGCAAACTGAACTGGTTTTTCTCGATGATAGCCCAGATTATTGCCAAGAAAATCGATCTCAAGGAACACTTGGAACAACTGGACGACATTGCAGGTATTTTTTAAATATAGGTATTGTTTACATTCTGATCAAATGTGCTATTTCTTTGCTATTACTTCAAGAATGAACTACTTTTTTCGGCTTTTTTTTATTTTCTAGAGATATTTCACAGCCTCGCTTATTTATGATTTAAAAAATATTTTTTTTCTTGTTTGATAGAATGAACTCAACCTGGCTGCCTCTACTAATTGAGAATGAAAATCATTTGAAAATAAAAATGCAATCAGATACCTAGTAGTTCACAGCAGCACATTTATAATGACTTCAAAGATCGGAATCGAATCGATGTTATTTATCCTCAGCCAAAGCAAAAAGCCACTCGACCTGCTTTCTGTTCTAAACAAAATCGAACTAAAATGCAAAAAAATTTATACAAAAAACAAAGCCTTTAAGAATTTTGCTGAAAATTGAATAATTCATAATATTATATATTTCAATAAACAATAATCCATTAAATTTTCGATTTTCATCATTTTACCAGTCGAATTCTTAGTAAGTCCGTTCTTTCAATTTTCACTGAAAATTTGCAAAAGGTCTGTTTGAACAATCTAAGTGCGATTACAGGCGACGATCAGAGGGATCAGATAGTTGTGATGTTTTATGTTGTGGACGCGGCTATAATAGCTATACGATGGAAACAGTGACGAAATGTCGTTGTAAATTTCAATGGTGCTGTAAAGTTGTATGTCAGACATGCATCAATCAAACACAAGTTGATATTTGTAAATAATTTCTTGTAATTTTAATTTTGTCGGCTATTTTTGAATGATTTATAGGTCATTCGATCTATAAGTTATTCAACTGATTGAGAAGATTGTTTTATTTTGCCGCTATTATAGTATTTTATATCATTTTGGTGGCCCGAAACAATCTAAATAAATTTCCAAAATTCTGAATTATTTTCGGCCTATATTTGATAAATTTCATGTCAAATAAACGCGAAAAAATGCACGATTTTTCTTCGTCAAGGAAATTTCTCTTGAAAAATTTCGTAGAACTTTGGAATATAAAACTATTTTTTATAGATAATAATGGTACTAGTAATAGCAAGGGATAAGAGTTATTATCAGCAGTTGATAAAGCTAATCTAAGAAAGCTAAAATGCATTTTAAATGATAACTGAATGATTCTGGTAAATTTAAATTTCCTCTTAAATTATTAATACATTCCAAATTTTTTGCATTTATGGAAATTGTGGGAGAATGTTATCTTAGAAATAAAATATCATTATGAATTTCCAGTTTTGAGAAATAGTTGGAAATGAACAGAAAATAGTTGAAATTAAAACAGAATTAAATTTAAAAAATTTAAAAAAAAATGAAATTTCTGTTTAAATTTACTATGTTTCTCGTTTTTTTTCATTTTTTTTCTCAATTTTTCGTGTAAATATTTATTTTTTTTACAGTAAAATAATTATAAATAATAAAATATATTTTATAAAATAAAATTATTTTTTAAAGCTTCCAAATATCTTTCTTTAAAAGAAAATGATTAAATTAATGAAATTAATAATAAAATTAATAAAATAGAGCAATAAGCAATTTATCCCTTATCAGTTTATCAATTTATTTGCAATATTATAAATATTATTTTTTCTAATAGCGCCTATTTTTAATTCGATTCTTTCTGCTGGCTTAATGGACCAATTAAATTCAACTAATCATTTGGCGGCAGTAGAAAGTATCTAACATAACGGATTTACGAAAGTTTTTTGAAAATTCATTTCTACCGAGAGTAGATAGAACTCCAATCTCCTCGTTCCGAAACCAACAAAGTGCCATTGAGCCATTCTATCGTCAATCTATTAATTATCGCTTTACTTGTTTTTCTATTGCCTATGGTAAAGATTAGTTGCTTATTGTACTATATTTATTGTATTATATTTTTATTTGTATTTTGTAATAAATTTAGTGGAACGCTACGACTGGTTTTTGAGTGGTTAAGCATAATTGAAAATCTTATCGTTATAATTTTAGAAGGGGATTTTTTTTTGACAAATTTTCCTTTTCTTTTTAACGGTGGAAAACCAAAAGGGGAAAATTCAATTGCCAGTTTTTTTTTTTTTTTGTTTTACATTTTGATGCATATTTATTGAAAAAGCTCATATGTAACAACCAAATATTCTGTTGTCCATAAATCCTTCTCCACGACCCCAGAAATTTACGATTTTTGCTATCTTTTTCACTTCTCTTTTCCCACGTTGCTAAATTATATAATAGTTGGCTGGCCCAAGATTCTTAAGTTTTCTTTCGACCTATTATTATTGTATGGTATCGCCTAATGCGTTTAATTTCTTCGTCTTTTTTTATTTGAAATTTTTATGGGAGCTTTTTCAGGAAGTTTGTATTCTTATTATATTATATTATATTATTTATATATGTATATTTGTTGATATTTGTTGTAATGAGAAGTATTGTCTTTGAAAAAGATCCTCAGCAATAACCAAATTGTAAATGATGATTATTGAATTCATTTTATTCGATTTTTTTTCTTATAGCAAATATTTAAGAAAATTTTTTTATTAATAAATAATTGAATTTTTAAAATTGATAATATTTTGAAATTTATAGTAGTGAAAAATGAGGATATTTTGAAATTTATAAGTACACCTAGAAAAAACTTTCCAATTTTTAATGTTTTTTTTTGGAACCATTGTGAATCAGATTTTTTTTTGAGGTGGTCGAATATTTCTTAATAATATTTAAAATATAAAAAATTCTATTCTAGGAGAGGGTGACGCCGTCTATAAATATTTTTCATACGCATAACTTAGATAACTCTTGGTACTGCCTCAGAATTTGTCATTTCCTTAGTAGTTCACTCCGATACTTTTACTTTTTTCGCAAAATGCGTATTGTTTTTCGATGATACGTCTCGCCATCGCCATGTGTTACCACTTTATTCTATGATTTGTGGCTGTCGCCGCAAATGATGCAAAGAGGTGTTGCAGTAATGCACAATTATAATTTTATGAGAAGAGTTGGCTAGTTTTTTAGGGAAATTAAAATCTGTAATTTATCAATTAGTTTATCAATGGAATCAAAAAAGCTTTAGCATGATTTCAAGCATGTTGAGAAATATTTAATGAAATTTGGTGAATTTTTCGTAAAATATAGCCAATTTTGATTGTATCAAAGGATTTCAGCAAAAAAGGTCCTGCGATTCCACAGCATTTGCGCTTTTTTCCTGATATACAAATTCGTTACCAACATGTAACGTGGCATTTTATATTTTACAGTGTATAATTAGGGTTTCAACAAGATTTTAGTATTTTGTTGATAAATAATGGTTTTGGAAAAAAAGGAAAATAATATTAAACAATATTTTTGATTAATAAAGTGCATTTGAACTATTCGCAGCATTTTAAATCGAAAATGCTCTCTTTTTTTTATAGTATTTTTTAAAGTAGAATTTTTATTCATAAAATATTGTTTAAGGGAGAAAATAGAAGGTACAATTGTATTTACTATTTATTATTGAAAAAAAGAAGTAATAAGATAATACGTAGAAGAGAGAGTATTAAGGTAGTACAAAAGTTATAAGAGAGAGTATTAAGGTAGTACAAAAACTAGTTGTGAGTTTAATGAGCTATTAATGAGGTATAATGGAGTGAATAAATTTTTAACGTCCTTATTTATTTAAAGACTTTTGACTTTCAATGGAGTGCAACAGTAAAAGCCATGATTTTGTACCATTTGCTCAAGAAAATTATCTTATCATTCATGATTATGGAGTAAAATATGGATCTATTTTAGTAAGATTTTAATGTTAAAGATTTTAAAGATTTTAAGATTTTTTTGCTTAAATTTTTTTGGGTAAAGTTTTAAATTTACTCCATAATGATGAAATATAGGTGAGTCGCCAGCATCATCCGGCCATATCACGTTGAAAACATGACACATTTTAATAAAATATGCTTTATTTATACCAATTTTATAAATTCGCTTATATGTTGCTCTAAATGGGCATTAGAATAAATACTTAAAACTGTAATAACTGATTATCTAACTTCTATATCTGTCTGTATGCTATAATTTTAAAATTGATTTATGCAATTATAGCTTGAAATCGCACGAATCAAGTCGCCTGGTAGATGTGATTTGATTGGAAATTAGATGTGGAACTAATATTGGTTTAAACAATAGTGTCAATAATCTAGAAAATAACACAATTGTTGAAGATTGTTCATTTTCAGAGCACCAAAACTCTATGCAATGCTTGTAAATGCTGAAAAAATTTATGCAACACGAGAATGTGAACGATTTTTCATCCAAAAATTTTTTAACAGAATTCTAAAATCCATTAATATTCAAATTCTTTCTTTAAGCCTATTATGCTTTTAGTTGTTAAAAAAGTAATTTCATAAAATATTTCTTTTTTTTCTCAAATATCTAATTGATTTATATTTAAAAAGCATCTTCTCATTCCAAAAATTTTCAGACATATAATCAAGCATAAAATCAAATATTTACGATTTAAGGATTGCATTTGCAGTTATATTTAAAAAGCATCTTCTCATTCCAAAAATTTTCAGACATATAATCAAGCATAAAATCAAATATTTACGATTTAAGGATTGCATTTGCAGTCGTTCATTGTGACCATAATTATTTGAGTTATTATCTAAAGTATTACCATATAATCTTTTATCATTCATCTGTGATAACGCGATAATCCGAGTTATTAATCATTCTTCCTTCAACTGGTTAATGCTTATTATTCATGGTTGTATATGATCCGCTAGTAATCTGTCACCATATAACTAACTTCCGTAGCAAAAATTTCTCATCATACTAGCAAGCATTGCAAATTACTAGAAATACCTGAATGCAACCAATTATTTATTATTATTATTATTATTATTATTATTATTATTATTATTATTATTATTATTATCGTTTATGAGTAAATGTGAGTATATAAATTTTATTTTTTTATTATTTTTTTTATGCAAATTATAGTTCTATGTTGGCTTTATTAGTAAAAATTTTCCTTTTATTTTGATCCCTATCAATTCATTTTTAAAATTTAAATAATAAGTCACAGATCGTTGGAGAAATGACGCTTTTGTGAATGACCAGCCGCTATGCTAATTTTATTGACCATATGCCAAGGTCGCAGAATACGTCGTTATAGATGATTTACAATATGAATTGTGGCTCATTAGTAAAGATCTGTAACTTTATTTTTTTTTTTTTAATGCATCACACCTCTCTTACTCAAATTTAATAGAAATAAATAAATAATAAAGGTCATACTTGTTGCTTTAATAAAAGGTCAAACAATAGTATTAATAATAACATGAAAAAATTCATTTCTCGCATGGCGCTATAAACTAACTATAAATGCTAATTGTCAGCGAATTTAATCAAACTCCCCATATGTTCTTAAAGAATATAATTAAAAGTCTTCATCGACTGCTTGAAATTATCTATTATTATGATTAGGTAAGTACAATTTCTACTGATGCATTTCATTTCTCATTTCATATTTTCGATTTTCTTGATTAAAATTACTATTAAAATTAAAAATTACTATTATTAAAAGATGCATATAAAAAATAAAATGCAACAAACTCTCCATTTTTATAGGATATTTTTAATATTGTCTATTCACATAATGCGGATGGAATGGGTTATTTTCGGATCCTTTATCAGATCTGTAAGAAATTCGAGATAGGTTAGGTCAACGTTGGGAGATCCTTGTCCAAGGACCGCTTATGAGAAGGAACCTTACATAAGCAATTCTCTTGAACCAGTTCGTTATTTTTCAATTTGGCCGCTCCGAGCTGCCGTGCGGGCTTTATATGAATGTTTCATAATTGTAATATTCTGATATAATGGATTATATTATATAAAATAGTAATTAATTGCTACTAAATTTCAGCTAAAATAATTTTTTTTTGTTGAAAATTGGTTGCAATAGTATAGACAAATAGAATATTATAGTTTTTCTTAACCAAAAATTTAAAAGAAAAATAAAAAAATATAAGTAATGCTTTTGCAGATTTTGCGAAATCTTTTTTATTCTGTTGATAAGCAGAAAAAAATTTTGAATTATGCTGATCATACTGATTATATAGGAAAGATTTTGTGATATGATAGGTCGTATATGATTTTATGATAATTTTCTTCTGCATTAGAATAATTATTTTTTCAATAATATTTTTGCAAAATAAATTTGATGAAATCTGAATATTTTTTTTGATAATATTTTGATACTTCATTACTTCATTGATACTTTCAAAGTTTTTTTAAAAAAAAAGTACCGATAGATAGTTTAATAAAAAACTGATTTAAAAAATCTCTCCGATAAAAAAATTTTGAAATTTTCGCTCAAATACAAAATTTGGAACTCTATCCTGAATTTGCCATTCTCATTTCTGTCTTCATAGGTACAATTATTTCAATAATTTGTTGTCAAACCAACGCATAACGCATAAAGGAAAAATTATGGCTATTTAAATATCGAACATCATCGAAGAGTGATCAGTGACAGCCAATTGTGTCGATCCTCCAATCTTATCAAGGTAAATACTAAAAACAATTATAGCAAATAATTTTATATTATAGCATTTTCATTTGCATACAATATTTCTCGTAATTTTGCAAAATTTTTACAATATTTTCTACAATTTTTCTGTTTTTTCAGTTTGTCCATAAAATTTTAAGAAATTTTTACGACGAATTTCACATTTAAAATTTTCAAGTTTTTGACTTATTAATATAAATATTAATAAAATGCAATTTCTACCTTATATAATATATTAATATAAATTAATATAATATAAATTATTACTGAAATTTTGCTATAATTATTAATGAGTAAAGGAAATTACACGAAAACTGGCAAATAATTATTGACGTATTACGGTCAATTTGTTTTATTGAATTGCTTCATTTATATTAAAGGAATATTTAAAGGTTTAAAGGGATTGCACTATATAAGCAATAAAATTTTAAAATTTTATTATTGTAATTGGTGAATTATTGCGAAACAGGTGAATCAAAAATGATAGATTGTCGAAAGATGTGATTTGTTTATTGGGACGATTGACGAAGTGACGGATTGATGAACTCTCTTAACTAACTGACTGACTGAATACGAATGAATCGAAATGGACGGATGAATGAATAAAAGTAGATAAATGACTGAGCAGATGTATTTCGACGATGAATTTTTGCTAAATAAGTTAAAAATTTTCTTTTTTTTTAAAATGATTTGCAAACAAAGAGACTTTTACTCCGATTGATTTACATTCCCCATTTTCCAACCTCAAATCGATCATCCATTCCTTTCCCATTTCTCCGCTCGATTTGCCTTATTTCTCATTCATTTTCATTATTAGCATCATATTCATCTTCTACCTTCGTCGAAATCAATTCGTTTATTTATTTCTTCTCCTTTCAAATTTATTCTAATATATAATCCACATCTGCTTCATCCATCACCTTTTTGACACTTTTTTTTTCCATTTTCCATGATCCATTTCACCTTCTTTACATAATCTAATTTATATATACAAATTAAATATGCCGATATATAATTATAAATATTTACAATATTGAATAAATAGATTGAAAAAGATAAATCTTATCAAATCAAATATTTTCGATGCTTTCTTCATAATAATAATTTTTTTTATATATTTTAGAATCAGATTTTTTTTTACTCAATTAATTTATATTTAATTTATTATATTTTTACTTTATTAATTATTTTATTAATATATTTTTTATTTTATTAATTTATATTTATATTTATAATTTATATCATATTATATTTAATAATATGATAAATAATATTTATTATTTACTTATTAAATAAGGCTAATGTATTTAATAATTAAATACTTTTTTACAATTCTTTATATTTAATTGTTTCTATAATTTTTTAAATCAATTTTCTTATTTAAAATCATTTATCAGTGTATCATTTGATGATTTAAAAATATTGAAAAAAAAACCATATTCGGTTGAAGAAAATTCGTATAAAATAAATATTATTATGCAAATTATCACAAAAAGCAAAGCATTATTATTATTAAACAAAAATTCAATAAATATCAAAGCTATCGATGGTGAAAAAAACAGAAAATGTTAAAATAGACTCCTACTTAAGTAGTAAACAAAAAATGAATTATTTTCCTTATATTTCAATAATTATGTTAAATAGTTCCATTAAATAACAATATTTATAGCTTATAATGAATGTTAAGCTGAATATAGCGAATAATCACCCCTTATTCAAGGGAATTCCTTTCCTTCATCCATTGTTCCCTTTAATTTTTTCCCTTCTTTTCTCACCCTTTCCGCTTCGTTCTTCCCAAGATTTTTTCAATTTTCCAAAAAGTAATTGTTTATTAGAGAAGATTTCACCAATAAAAAATATTATTGAATGGTTGAATATTCATTTAATTTATTTATTTAGTTGAACAATAAAAGCGATAAAAGAAAACCACTTCTATAGCGAAGCAAATTATGACTTACTTTTTGGTTTTCCAACTTTTTACAATATTCGTAATTTTTTCGAAACGATTAACTTCATAAGAATTGAAAAAAGCGCTGAAATAAGCCAATAAGTGTTTCTTTGCTTTTAAAAAAACAAAATACGAAATACTCTTACAATAATTTACAACAACATTAATTAATATAAACTATACAAATAAAAACGATAATAATAATAATAATAATAAAAATAATGAAAATAAGCAAATTAATGACCACTAGCAAAGCACCGGACTCGAGAGATCTAAGGTGAATTGCACTAAAATATTTTACAGAATGTTTGAATAAAAAAACAAAAACAAAAATGAGGCAGATTAAGGAAATCATAAAGAAAAAAAAGACGATAGAAATATTAAATTTCCATATGATATATAATATTTAATATAATTTTAATTTTTTTTACATAATATTCTTTAAAATTATTCATAATTATTAATTCACTTAAAAAAAAAACTGGAACATTATCCATTAAAAAACTATTTTTTAAAGATCATTTTCAACAAAGTGATGAGCAAAAACGATAATTAACAACGTTGATTCGAGTTCAAATGATTAATGGAAGAACGAACGAAATATCGCTATAAATAGCGATGAATATTAGCAAATATGGAAGAAGAATTATTCTTTAAAGGCCGTAATGTAATCTTTTGCATCCAAGAAGCTGTTTTTTTTTTTAAAAATTTATTATATTGACGGAAAAACTTAGAAAACTTAGAAATTAGGTACTAAATTTGAAAAATTCTTAAATGAAAGCCTTGAAAAACACGTTTAAAAAGTGAAAAATGAAATAAATTTTAGTAAATATTTAAAGGAAAATAAGATTTAAATAGCAAAAATTATACGAAATTTCACTGAAATATCGTAAAGATTTATGATGGAAAAATGAAAAAAAAATTTTGCAAATAGAGCGAGCGTATTTTTTCAAAGACTGATTAATCGTACTGAAATCGACTGATTTTCAGCTTTTTCTCTTCCTGAATTATATATTTCACCTGATATTACGCTAATCGCATTTATTCTCTATAAGGTTTGCAATAAGAGTAACGATGGTTCATATGTTGGGAATAGCTACCGGAATGACTGAACCTCTTCAAACATTTATCACACTGCAAAAAAAAAATTTTCTTTATCAGTTTTTTAACCATTTCTAAAGTAAAATATTGATAAAAAAAATAGAAATACGTACTTGGAATGGTTTTTCACCCGAATGGAGACGTTTATGTTCAGTTAAATGATGTTTATGTTTAAATGCTTTATCACATACGTCGCATTTGTATGGCCTTTGACCTGAAATTGCAAAAAAATCTTATAATGGATTTAGGAATGAAATCTTTTTAGCTAAAAAAGTCAATAATATTGCAAAATAGTAATGCAGGAAATATTTTATATAGTTCCCTTAGTATCCCTAATTTGCATAAAGTGAATGAAGAATTTTGGGCGTAGAGCGTATAAAATTCAAAAGGAGCAGCACCTTGATCAATTAGGATTAGTCGCTCGATCAATCTTAAGAGAGAATGAAAGACGATGATAACCTCTTGACCTAATACGACAATCAAAGCCTTGTTCATCTTCCTTTAATCTAATCTTTTCGAAGCCTTTTGCAGAGTAGAGATTCTTCAAAATAACAGGTGAGCAAAAAAAGAATATAATTTCTCTCCTCAATTAGGCTTTTATTATAGAAAACAAGCATACTAGAAATTTTTAGAATCTCCTCATAAAATCGAATAAGTGAAAAATTAGCTAACCGGAATGTTCATACTTATGTCTAGCCAAAGAACTTTGTTTGCCAAACATTTTATCACATTGATCACAAGCATAAAGACCTTCCTCATCTGTCCTATGATTTTTCCAATTTTGTCTCTGACGCTTTCCATTTGAGGAATTATCAGAACAATCATCATCAAATTCGTTACCTTGCTGCAAATTTACTTTACATCTATGTAAATCCAAATAGTTATCAGTGTTTAACCAATTTTTTTACAACAATTAGCTTCTTACTTATCAGTGGAGCTAAATTGGTAATAGAAAACGCTATAGAAATACCGTAAAATATCCCTTATAAACATTAATCGGTATAATGATATCGAAAATAGTACTACCTCGAGTGCTTTTTGCAGACCAACAAGCCCATTTGTTCCCAACATTGAATATTGCGATATAAATGCATTGCTAGGCCATATTCCAGAAGGCGATGCTAATGGACTATCGCTACCTGCCCCACCTTCAGAAGTACCATCACCGTCGGAATGTGATGTACAATCATGCATTGGCGTATCAACTCGACCTTTAGCTGCTTGCATTAGTGCATCTCGGATTGCTTCTCCACCTTTTTGCACAAAACCTGCAATGTATCGCCTGGCTATGTATAGTCGACCACAATAATGATGTTCTTTTTTATAATTTAATTTTATATAAAATAATAAAATAAAATAAATAAAATAAATTAAAATAATAATTTTATAATTTCTAATAATTTCGCATTAAAATTTCAGCCAAAAGAAAAAAATTGGAATTTTTGCCAGCTAAATTTCTAATATTATACTGCAAGTAAAATATCTCTGATGAAAAATGCGACAAATTATTCGACAATAAATTATTTTTAAAAATTGAAACAAAACAATTAACTAATCAACAATGGATCGGATAAACGAATTTAAAAAATGATTTATATTAATTAATAGCAATTAATTACAAACCAATAAGACTGCTGGCTGACCATAGTGTTTCTTGTTCATCGATATTATTTTTATTATTATCATTACCATTATTTGTTAATTCAATTGGAGAAACGCGATTCGAATTCTGATTACACTGATCTTTCACTGATAAATCAAGCGGTGAATCAATACAAAATGAGGGTGATAATTTCTCCTTTACAGAACTTATATCTTCGTTTGATTTTTGATCCTCCTAGAAAAGAACCAAATAAATCCATAAATGTACCGTTTGTTTATTAATCCGTTAATCTTAAAATAACCTTGCTGTAAATAATAATGCAAAGGTCAAAATGTGGATCATTTTTGGTTCCATTTTATAAATAAATATTTATATTGTATGTATTTATATAAGATGAAAAGATATTTTCACAATTAATACGCTTCTTTCATCATTTACATCTTTTATAACCAATAAATTTCATAACCAAAAAATTCAAAACCATATTGAAAAAGGTATGTCGATTTAAAGAAATTTATTATGAAATATTTATTTTAATTACATAAAAAATAATCATATTAATAAACAATTCATAAATTTTTACTCATAGATTTCTTTCCTAAATTAATACAATTCCCAATAAAAAATAATTTATTTTCAAAATAATTTAATTTAATTATTTCAAAAAACTTTATTGAAATAAAATTAAAAGTGGCCAAAAAAGGATCGGGAAATTCCCTGAATAAATCCGAAAGAATACTACTAAAAGAACCAAAAAAATGAAAATTTTAGGAAATATTATGCAGTCTTACTGAATAAGTAAAAAGTAATTCTCTAAATTTCCTATTAGAAATTCTTAGCAATTCTTTGAATATTATTCTTCATCTTTTGAGTAAAAAAAATTAAATGCCAGGTTTTCATTTTGAAACTAATGGAGGAAGGATAGACGAGTGGGATTGTTGGTTATTTAAATTATCAAATTATCCTATTCAGTGGTTTAATGTTTAATCAAACTATTTTACCAAGAAATGATGAACGCTCATCGTTCACTTTCTTACTTATTATTCTGTGCTTAGAATAAAAAAGGAAAGATGAGAAGAGAATTTTTTAATCTATCTTAAGTATAAAGATAACAATTAGATTATATATTTCCAAAAAATCAAGCACCTGCGAAAGTTATTTTTAATCATGGCGACTCATTCAAAATTATAGATTATATGACTGATTTTAATTTAAGTAGAATCCCTGAGGGCAAAAACCTCACTAAGAAAATTAATTTTCAAGGCAGATGTCCACGATTGAATGAAATGAACAAATGAATGTCAATGAAGAGTAATAATACAAATGAGTTGAAGGTGAAAAATTCTTCCTATACTTTCTCTAAAGAAAATGAACTAATAACCAATTTTAATAACAATAGAAAATAAGCGTTAAAACATGGCGATCATTGCTAGATCCGATCTAATTCTTAACAATAAATAATACCATTTATAATTAAGGCACCTCTCGTTCTCCATTATCTCCATTTGTTTATATTTGTCCTTCTCGTTTAGAAAGAAATATTTGCAAAAAAGGTAATAAACTGGTCCCAGGAATTCTATATGCTAGTACCACTACCACTTTAAAGTACCGTTTTTTCAAAATATGAAATTTTTTTGATATAAAAATGTTTTCTATTATAAATTTACTTTTAAACAAATAACGAAAATTTCAATTCAAGTCTATCTGTTTATTATGTTGAAATCTGATCGAAGTGATCATTTTTCACTATAAAAACTATATGCATATATATAGATGCAATGCAATCTTCTTTTTAAACTCCTCAAATGCTCCTCAAAAAAAGGATAAAAAAATTCATAAAGAGAGGTAATAAAAAATGAAGATTTTTTAAAATTCTCTATTTAACAATATCGCCATTTCTTTAATTTTCAAAATTAGATTTTTTTGCAATAGATTTGCGCTGACCCAAAAATGAATTTTTCAATAAAAAACGAATTTGAAAAAATGAAATGAAAAAATGGCTTTTTATAAGAAATAATTATTTTAAAGTTTACTTTCTCTTTCAATTTAATGGAATTATAACAAAATTAATATTAATTAATTTTAAAAATTTTATTTAATAATGAAATTAATAAGAATTAATAATTAATAATAGATTTCTTATTAATTAACTATTATTTTAGATTTACTATTAAAGGTACCAAATTTATTTTAAAATATGAATAAATATCATTAATTTGATAACCACTAGTTGTGCATAGATAAAATTTATTTCGAAAATTTGAAGACTAACTGAAGTATTAAGCGAAGGACATTGTCGAACCCATGCATTCATAAATTGAAGAGAATCATGAAAAGTTGGATTAGATCCATGAGTTGCCGATGAATTCGACCAACCGCATCGTGCAAACCTATCCGAACTAATATTAAGACGACTGCTACGCCGTTCTTTAGCTCGAGTGTTTTGAAACCACACCTAAAAACAAATATAGGCAAACTATAAATGAAAGCATAGTAACTGAGCCGTAAAGACAAGCAACTATACTGTAATGCTTTCACTTAATGTAAACGTTTGCTTATATCCCTCTTGAATGAACTTCTCAATGAGAGTACAATGAGAGTAAAATCATAATCGCTGGTGAATATCCGAGGGAATTCAGAAGTTGTGAATCCATTAGATGAATTGGAAATTGACTCTAACTGGAAATTTTCCTTCTTCGATTGCCGAAGCAAAATTTTATAAATTCATTATTCCTAAACATGAATGAATGATTCCTACCTGAACTACGCGTTTATTGACTCCAATCTGTTCAGCAACAGCCGATAATTCATATTTCGATGGAAATGGATTTCGTTTGAAATGTGTTTGTAATATGCTAACTTGTGCATCGGTAAGAAATGAACGTGAACGTAACGGCCTCCAAGTACTATTTGAGCGTGAATTTGAATTAGTTGATGTATCAACATCCAAACTGTTGCTTATCGATTCAGAAGCGATTTCCATATTATCATATTGATGATGATTAATTTTAAATTCCTTATCATTTTGCCCAATTAAATCATCATTATCAATTTTATTTTCTCCTTCATGACTAATTTCATCTTTAATCTCTGCCTTGTAATTAGACTTTTTATCAGGCGTCATCGTTAAAGATGAACACTCCAAATTATTCTCCAAAAATGGATACCAAGGTGATGTGATGAATGATGATGTCGATGTTGATGAAGATGGTAATGATGTAGGAATTGGTGCTGATGGTGGTGATGAGGAAGAAATCGATGAAAGATTCGTTGCCTTTAAATATTAAAAAAATATTATTTTTTTATTTTATTCCGCAATTAGATAAAAATAGAAAAGTACTAAATTTAATGAAATAGTATTATGTTTTATTTAGGTCGAACGATTATGGTTACGAAACTCCATTTTCAACTTAGAATAATGGATGCATATTCCGTAGTGTAAAATATGTTATAAAAAATTTTCGTTTTTTTGTAGCTTAGCTTAATTTTGTCTGCTGATGCGACCGACTTTATAATATATTTATTTCATACATACTAAATATACTAAAAACGAAATATAAATTTCCACAGCTTTTATGAAGAAAGTCCACGATAATCGGACAAGTTGTGGTTGATTGCGTTCAGAAAGATATTTTCAGCTCCTATCTCTAATTCCTAGTAGGAGTAAAATCCTGAGCTGTTGGAAAATCTGAATGGTGCTAGCCACTCAGCCATCTGTACTTTTATCACCAAGTGATTTTCTTGTAAAAAGTTCCTCGTCATAATTACTAATAATTGGTGAAGCTCGACTAACCAGAAATATTGAGCGCTACCCAACTACTTTTCTTTTTTCTACAGGTTATTTACTAAACACAGCGAATCTTTGTTTATAAGAAAATATTTAAAATTTGAGAATCTCTTTTTTTTGAAAAAAACAAAATGAAAATAAGAAAACCTGTAATAATTGCTGCTGAATAAGTGCTGCATATGGATTGAAAGGTGAATAGGTAAAATTTTGCGCAGCTTGAAACTGTTGTAAAATCGCTCGATATAAAGAAAGTGGATCACCAACTAAGAATGAATTAGTCGCTTGTGATGCAGCGGCTGCTGCTGCTGTACATTTTTTACTGCTCATATGTGATGAATATGAACCGGAATGTGAGAAGCGTTTTTGACAATGCTGACACTGTTAAATTTAAAAAAATTTAAAATTCAACAAATTTTATTCATAAAGTAATTTTTAAAATATAAAATTATAAAATTGTAAAAATTGTAAAATTATTAAACCGTAAAAATTATAAAAATGTAAAATTATAAAACTAATTTATAAAAATAATCCTAAATAATTAATTAATTCGGCGTAGAAAATTCATAAATTTATAAATATTAAAAATTTTTAAATATTCTACAGTTAATTTTATTTCAATTATCCTTCATTTGTTTGCTACTACGAGTCTTCGATGTTTTTCAACTAAATATTTTATTTTTTATATTTTTATAAAAATAAATTAAAATATACAAAAGAAAAGAATAATTTGCTGATTGCAAATGGAATGTTATACCGTATTTATTTATTTTTTCTATAGTATGGCACCTGCGAACGGAATGAACGAGAACGTTGAGTTAGTTAGTGTTGTTGCTATGTAAATAAAATAAGAAAGGCAAATGAATGATGGTTTAGGAAATAGTAGTTAATCACGCAATACTTCAATATACACCTTCATTCATTAATACGGTATTAAGAATGCTTTTAAAAGAAGTAAATAATCGAAAATATTTAAAAATTTACCAAAATAAAAAAAATAATAATTTTTGTTAATCAATCGAAAAAGTCAATCGAAATATTTTTATTATTTTATTTTTTAATCGAACTTTTTAGAATATTAAAATAAACGAAAATATCGAAATGATTGTTATTAATTTTAGACGAATGATAAATTTACAAATAGAAATAATAAAAAAATAAATTTAATATTGTTTTATAAAAAAAGATTGCAGATTTCGAGTAGTGCACACCGAGTATTCCTAAATTTCTATCAAATTTCTAATGAAACTGCTAAATGCTAAAAGCGAATGGAACGAGCCGAATTCGCAATGATACGATATTACAGAGCTAATGTCCATTACCTGATCTAATGGTTTATTGAAAATGTGGAAAGATGAGAATCGACTAATAGCAATTCGCATATTATATTTATATCGTAAGACTTACTAATGTTCGCTAATTGATTATTTGAATAAATTTCTGTATAAATTTTATAAAAAAAATTATTTATTCCAATAGCTATAAATGAAACTATAAATGAAACTACAAAATGAAAAGAGGAATAAAATAATTTTTCTCAAAAAAACACTAATTAGTTTTAAAATAATAAATTATAATAAATATTAATAAACATTGCAAATTATAAATATTTATTTAAGGGGTAAAAACAAGAAAAATATTTAAAATATAATATTTATAGAAATATTTTACTTTTGCAAATTATTGTAAAAAATATGAATTAAAAATAGTTCCAAAATAGGTTTTGATAAGTTTGATGATCTTAAAAATGATGCTCGAGCTAAATCCAAATTTTTATATGACTTTGCATAATTTATGTGTGGATATCATTTTAAAAAATTAGAAAAAAAATTAAAATTTATAAATTTATAAATTTATAAATTTTTTATAAATTATAATTATAAATTATTAAAAATTATAATTATTATAATTATTATAAATTGAACTATAATTATTAAAAAATTATAAATTTATAGACTAATGAAAAAATTTATTAAATTTGTAAGAAAGCCGTTCTGCTCCTTCTAAACTGCAATTTGTAAATCTATGCATATATAAATATAAAAAAAGTATTAACGTAATTGGTAGAAGTATTAGGAAAAGAATAAAAATGAATATTAATGGGCGGAAAAGATTTTTGTAGGCGCCATGGGCAAAATTTTTTTATATAGCCAAACGGCGCCGAAAATGGATCTAGAAAATAATTTTTGGAAGGAAAGAAATCAACGACGGAGATGCTCTTATAACGCCTGTTTGCCAACTTCTCCTTAAATCAACGGTAGTAGCTGCGAAGACGACAAATCGCAAAAATTTTTCCTCTTTTTTCATTTTTTTGATAACCATGCTCATTATAAACATATATATATATATGTATTTTAAAATTTTCCTTTTTTAATTAATAGAAAATCAGGGGCCAAAAAATGAACCCAGAGACGTGGAAAATGAAAACCAATGTAATCTCAGTGGTAATAGAAGCACTAGAGACTATGACCACTAAATAAGAAAAGAAATAACAAAGAAGAGATCTTTATCCAGAAGAGAGCACTACCAGGAACAACTGAAATGCTGCGCAAAACTCTCAACTTGCGAGGCCTCTAGAAGCGGACTCGAAGTTGGGATTAACTCTTATCACTCAGAGGAGATAAGGCAAGGATTTCTTTCATATTGTAAACATTTTATGTATTTTAATAATTATTTTTTACGACAGCAATGAGCATTTATTATTTCTGGTTAGATTCATTTCACTGGCCTGATAGACATATATATTATATAAATCGCTTAGTCATTAATTCATTGCAAGAAGATAAATCTTTCCAGGGAGTAATATGGTTGGTTAGTTAGCCAGCACCATCTGGGTTTTTGAAGGATAAGTTTAGTCATGCCGCAAGTGGAACTCTAGCACCTCCAAAATAAGAGCAACTTAGCTGTTCTATTCTAAGTAAGGTTCTGAATAAAATATATCCTTAATTTTATCTTTTTATGTTTATTTAAACGATCCAAATAAAGATTAAATTAACTTATCATAACTGATTAATAATTTCATAGACATATTATGTTATATAAATCATTTATTCATTCATTAAAAAATTTTGGCTTTCAATAGGAGTGATCAACTTTGATAAAAACACTTATGATAACTGATAAAGAATAATTCAGTTTAGACTAATAAATAAACTAATTTAACTCGAAAATTAAAAAATTAATAGAAAATCTAAATCTAAAATACAATGCATAAATTAGCGTCGCTTTTTATGCATTTCCAAATAACAATAATCTCAATATTACTGTTTTCTGCGATTAATTAATGCAAATAATCTTCATTTAATTATTTACAGAAAATTCAGTATAATAAATTGAAATATTTCATATAAAACAGCGAACCTTAATCGAATGAAAAAAAAAGCAATGAAAGAGTCACATTTATCAATTATCCATCGCAAAAAAAGAAAAAATGATGAAATTTATTAATTAAAAAATTAAAATTATTGCCAAAGTTATTTATTGTTTATTTGAATTCCACTCCCGGCAAGAATAAACCTTTTTCTTTTAAAAAATTCTCGATTATATGATGGCGACTCACCAACACTTCTATCGCTATGTCTGATGCATCGACAAAATGATTAAATGATTAAACGATTGTCTCGTCCAAAAAGCTTGCGGTGCAGGCTTTGTTACAAATGGTGAGTGAGGAGTGCACCGTGGAACTTTTAGAAAGAAAAACTTTATTTATTAACTAAATAATAACCATCGTATAAATTTCTATTATTTTTACAAAATTTTTATTAATCGTTAATTTAAAAAATTAAATTCAATATGGAAAAAAATTAAAATTATATTAGATTATACTAAAATTATTTAAATCAGAAAGCAATAAAAAAAAACTTTTAAACTCAAAATTATGTGTTAAGTGTTGAAACCAAAAAATTTTAATTTTCAATAAATTCAACTGTAATAACTTTTTTTCAACGATTTCATTTAATAATGAGTTAAAAAATTTCTATTAAAAATATTTTTTAATTAATTTCGAAGATAATTTGACACAAAAACAAAAAAATCATCATTTCGATAAATTTCTTTCTTACTTTGCCTTAACTGTTAAAAAAAAACTTTAAATTCATTATGGAAAAAAATTTAAAGAATTCTCCTTAAATCCTTTAAAAATAAAAAAAATGAAAAAAATAAAGAAAATAATTTTAATTTTAAAAAATTTCAATAAGCAACTAATAAAAATGAATTCTATCGATAACAATTGTTTTTTTTTGAAAAAAGAAAAAATGAATAAATAATAATATACATGAAGAGAAAGAGCCCTTAGTGTCGCCGAAATGCGAAAGCAAAAGGAGTTGGAATGGCTGGATGCGTTTTTGCTCAATTTGGAGCGCTCAGGTTCACTCTACGATCGGCAAATGTAAAGCAATCTGGATGATGGTGGCTGACGACTCACCTCACCTGTATACTTCTATCGCCAAGTCGCTCTCTCACTCTCTCTTATGTCACTTTCGCTGCTAAATTCGCCTGGTCCGGCAAATAAGTGGAGCGAACCTAATCAGCAATGGTGAGTGCTCTTAGAAAAAAATGTGAAGAGAAGACAACTTAAAAAAATAGAAGATAATTTTTTTTTAATCTCTTTCCCCAAAAAAATTTTTTTAGCAGTAATTTATAATAATAGTTATCAACGAATATCTTTTTCTTGATAATTTTCATAATTAAATAATTTTAAATTTAATAAATTCAATAATTTATAATTATTGTTTAAAGTATTATTGAAAAATTATAAATTATTAGTATTTTTATTATTATCAGCGATAGAAACAAATGAAAATATATATGTTCGCTACTTAAGATTTATTCATTTAAAATCAATCACTAAATTACGAAGTAAGCTTAATTTTAAAAGATACTTGAAAAATTTTAAAGAAAATTCTTAAAATTGAATGAAAAGCAAAAAGAGTACTTCATAATAAATATAAAATAAAATATTATATAAAAACATAAAAGGACGCTTGAAAATTATTTATTTGAAAATATTTAAGAAGTACCTGAAAGGGTTTCTCGCCAGAATGTATTCGCGTATGCTCTTTTAAATGGTGCTTGAATTTGAATGCTTTTGGACATTCGGAACATTTAAATTTTCGTAAAGCTTCCTCATTTGATGAAAAATCAACGCTTGTTTTTAAATGCTCACCAACATAAACTGCACCATTTGCACCACTGGAAACACCATTACTAGTTGCCTTCTCGCTACTATTATGTGCTTCCAATATACCTAACATTTTTCTTTTCGTTTTTTTTTTTTAATTCGATTTCTCTTCCACCAATTTTACGAAATTTTTTATAGCATTTCACGATATCTTCATTTGAAAATTCTTGTTAGTCACTGAAAAATTTTTAATTTTTTTAACATTTATCACATGAAAATCGCGTAGTGATAATGCGAACAATTCAATAATGCGAATAGGAATACCGAGAAATAATCGTGAATTAGAAATAAAACTCTAAAAATAAGCTTCAATTTTGAGCCGATCAGTCATTCATAATGAATTTATGAAGTATCACTTTCAAAATAATAAGCAAAAATTAAATGGCAATCATTAATAAATGAGACATAGGACGATCGAGCGATTTTCGTTTTGACGTAGGCAAAGTGTCGTAGAAAGCGTATGTCCGGCTTGTCTCAAAAAATAAACCAACCGTTAAGTAAAATCCAGGTGGATTGCCAAGGATTCACCAATATTTCTATCCTCAAGTGGCTTTCTAACCAGAAATTTTAGCAATTAATTAATGGAACTATTTATTCAAAAAAATCGGTGGATATGAAGAGCAATCATAAAAACGATAAATAATATTTCCCACAATAAAACTTTTCCAACAAAAAAAAGGCAATGGAAAAATATTTAAATTAAATAAATAAATAAATAAAAAGCAAAATAAATGATGGATGTTACAAGAAATTATTGCCGAATAGAGCGGAATAAATAATTATGAAAATACAAAAGAGAAAGAGAATTCTCGATTCGCGTCTTCGGGGTCGATTAAAACACTTTCAATTGATCCCGTTCATCCAGTTCGCAATTTACCGACGCCTTCTTATCACTACACTTCCTGTTTTCCATATTTAATTTTCCATAACAATTCATTGATAAAATTACTACCAAAATTTTTAAAAACAATATATTAATAAGAGAAATGAAATGTTTTGGGGTTCATTCGCGAAAATTAAACGGTCGTTCTATCTTAACAATCAAACTATAAGCAAAAACAAAGCGAATTTTTGTAATATAAAAAATAAAATAAAGCTTGCATTTTTAGAATCAAGCAATTTATTTATGCAACGAAATGCTTTATTAATGTACGGGTATACTTTCATCGGGCGAGGAAGTAAATAAAATCGCGATTTCAGACTGATGATCCCCCGTTTTGAAACTCGTTGAGAGCCACAAAATCTTCGTACTTCGTGAAAAGCTATCCTGAATGCCGTACCTTTATAATATACCCAAAGCTACTCCATATCCTTTTGCCACAAAATCTTTATTACATTAACTTCTTTTTCATCAATTTGACTCCCAGAATACTCAGTTACAAATCCCACCCACTTCCATTGTATTGTCTCAGCCCCGTCAAATCTCAATAGCGTATTTTTCGTTGCAATTTAAGGATAAGGACTGAAAGCTAATGAGGAAACACAATGGGAACTGGAGCTGTTAAAAGAGAAATGCAGAATGATGGATATCATAAAATTTGATCATTTCTTAGAATACAACGAATTCTAAAAGTATATATCAATGATTATATTTGCATAAAAATAGTACTCATTCATGAGATGGACTTTTTTATATATCAAAAAGCAAGGCTGGAATTATTAATATAGCCATAGAGCATATCATCACCCATAACCACGCTTTATTGAAACGGTAAAACGGTAATAAAATAAAAAAGCGCAATTTACAATGGGCTAAATTGTCTCGTTTAAAATGGAAAAATTATTCTGACGGTTCTCATCTCTAGCATATTTTTGACTTATTTGCAGTTCGGCAAACGTTGTAAGTCTAACCGACCCTGGTGAGTGCTCTGAAAAATGCATCTGTCAATACGGTTAACCCACAAATACTTCAACAGCTTCGTGATTTTGATTTTGTAGCCAAATTTTCTACCGTACTAATAACTATCAGAATTAGCCTAAAGAAAAATGGTGAGCATTAATCGCTTATTTATTTATCGAAATAACATCCTCGTTATTATTATTATTACAACAAATAATATTAAAAACAACAAATTTATGCTAATTTATTCAAAGATGAGCCTTTTTTTGAGTTAAAAAGTAAAATTTAAATAAGTAAAAGATTTATGTCACAATTCGTAGACATTTAGTAAATATTGAGTTTATGGAAAATGAAATAAAAAAATTAAAAATATTCGGCAATATTTGGATAAATATGGCTAATCAATCATATTTCCTTTTTTCGAAGTGAATTATGGTAGAATGTTGACACATTTAAAGTAAAATCATAATAAATGTTAATGAAGTTTTGCCTCCTCTCTAATAAAATAACGTTGACCTTTATGTTACATGTCCATCCTGTAATGTTTGACATGAAACTTACACATAATAAAATAAATGAACAGAAGATTATAAATGATAAGATTTATTTATTAAGCTATTGGAAGAATTACCATAGCAAACTCAATGAAGAATTAATTACATTTTGAGATTTTGTGATATTAAATAAATTTGATAAAATAAGATAAAATCAATAACAATTGATAAACTTATCGATATTGATAAGCTTTTATTATCGATATTTATTTTTCTAGAAAAAAAGAAGATAATTGACAAATCTACTTTTTTAAGGAAAGGCATCGAAAATGTTGGGTTAAACCCATCTGTTTTTGCGGAATAAATGAAGATGCATGAAAAATATTCGATGACAGTAGGCGTGACAGCTCAAAATCAACATCGTATAAAATCCAGGTGTGAAAATTAAATTTATAAATTTCCTCAATAGAATTTAAATTTTTCCTTAGAAAAAAATTTATTTTTTATTTTTTTCATTATTTATATAATAACCTATCTTATAATAATTTCTGGACACTTAAAATAGAAAAGTGCCTTTAGCGGATTCTACGAGTAACATTGCATTACAGATCTCTGTCCAGAGTTTTGTGCACTATTAGGAACAATTAAAATACTACGTAGAATCTCGAATCATTCAAGCATCTGGCAGAGCACTCGACGTTGAGGATGATTATCATCATCTACAGAGGTGCCAAAGAGAGGAAAGTTCTTTTTTTTTCATTTCATCATTTAATCTTTTCTAAAAAATTATTATTCATTTTTATTAACATTGTTGTACAACTAATAATTTTGATTGCTACAAACAAAGGATTGTGCTCAATTATATATTGTATTATTGTTCAATTATGAAGATTAATCATCATTAAACTTCTGATTGACCTAATCGCATCTTCAATATTGACAAAGCTGACCTTTACGCTATATTTCGAAGTTTTTAAATCTATAAATGACCTTTTTAAGCTATTATAAAGCAAAAGTATATCTCTTACATTCCATTATTAGTAATAACAAAAATATCCAATTTTGGTTTCAGCGAGACGTTTAAAAGGTGCGAAATAACAGAAAATGGATCGCTATTTAGATAACTATTTTTGAAATGAATAAATATTTCGAGCAAAACGATGCGATCCATTCACTGCATTAATCATTAAACCCGTCATTTAAAAAAAAAAAAACCCGACTGAAACCCGACTGATTAAGAATTTAGGAGGGAAATCTATACACTTTTTCTTCGTCTTCATGGCAAAATTTTATTATGAAAGCAGGGAAGCAAATCTTCCTTAATACCAAAAGTTTCATTATGCGAAAAATTCTTCAAAAAGAACGAAAAGAGAAAATTAACAGGGGAAATCGATCATTGCTTATTTATTAAACGAAACGTTATTGTCTAAAAGCAAAATTTGCCTGAAATTGCATCCATCATTTTTCTTTCTTTAGGTTTATTCCACTAATTAACAATAAACTGATCTGTAAAAAAATTTCATATTTTCAAATATTTATTTCCAATCAAAATGTTTATAAAAATTATGGAAACTTAAAATTATTTATATAAAATATAAAATTATAAAATATATTATTATTTTATTTCCAAAATAAAATAAAAATAAATATTTTCAAAAATCAATTTAATTTCGGACAAAGTTTCAGTTTCTTAATTGACAATATTTTTCTCAGAATTCTTGATTACAATTAAATAATTTTAATTTATTTATTTAAAATATAAACAAAAATATTACAAAATAAAAAGGCATTTTTGATAAGCAAATTTTTCTTTTTTTTCTCCCATAACTGTTAATCGAATATTTATTTTTTTTCAAATTAAATCTTTTAGTTTTCTTCAGCTTTTTCGTAATTTCATTTTTACAAAAAATTTTATTTTATTTAGCAAAATTACTTTAATTTTTGCAATTTGCGAACTTTATAATTTTCTTTTTCTTGCGATTTTCTCAAAATTTCCATTTTTCCCTATTTTTCCCTATGTTCAATTTATAATTTCCTTTGTTGTTTTTGCTTTTTTTCTGAAAACCGTATAAAGTTTTTTCTTTTTTTTTCAAAAAATAAAAATCGTCAAAAAAATAAATAAATAAATATTAAATAAGCAAAGTAGAATTAAAAACAGGAGAAATGAAATAAAGTAATATGAGTCGACGAATAGAAAAGATTGGTTGGTTGTTTAGCCAACAAATAATACAGGTGTTGGATGATCCAATAAATCTCACGATAATCATTAAGAATGTATCCTTTAAAAAGAAAAAGAAGGAAAAATTTAGAGAGATAAGAAAGCGAATAGAAGAGAGTTGATCTTAGTAAAAATGATATTTACGATTAATTAACATAAGAGATCTATCTAATAATAATATCATAAAACAATTAATGAAGGTTATTGAGGTAGAATTGGATAGAATGTTGCCAAATAATATAAAAATTGAACAGATGGTCATTTAATTTTTACGAATGAAACGAAAGAAGATGATGAAGAAGAAGAAGAAAAGAGGTAAATGAAGGTCGAAATTAGATTGCTAATAAGCTTGTTAAGATTTTTAACTACAGTTAGTTAATCAATGGACACATGTTTGATAGAAGAAATCTATCCCGCAATAAAGGTCATCAATAAATTTTGCCGAAAAACGGTTCATCATCGTCAAATACAAATATGCGCACCCACCTCCTCCTCTTTATCCTTTATCTACCCGCTACAAC